AAAAATGCGAACAATACACGAAAAATAACACAAAACTCACAACAATTCAAACAAACAAAAATTGTCTTATTTTTTTGGAATTTTGGGAGTATTTCTTATATAGGGAAAAAATCACGTGCTTACAGTATGCAAATGCGAAGAAGGAAAATATTATGGCCCAGAGATTGCTCTTCACGAACGCGTGAACTAGTACGCGAACGCGAAGAGTGGAACAACATAGCTACGCGAACGCGTGAGGGGGATGCGAACGCGATGAGGGATAAAGCAGAGCTTCGCGAACGCGAGGCTCTAAACGCGAATGCGAAAAAGGATTTCCAGGTGGTCAGCAAGAAAGCTTCGCGAACGCGGAAAGTGGTTCGCGATCGCGAAAGAGGATACCAGAAGCAGAAAACAATAGTTCAAAAATAAGGAAAAATGACCTGTAGCCTACCCGGAACACACCCGAGACCCCCGGACCCCGTCCAAACATACAAACAAGTCATATAACCTATCACGGACTCGCTCTAGGTCTCAAATCACATCAAACAATGCCGAAACATCGAATCACACCAAGAATCAAACTTAGGAACTTTCAAACCTTCTAACTTCCAAAACTCGTGCTAAAACCTATCAATTCAACCCGGATTGACGCCAAATTTTGCAGACAAGTCCAAAATGACATAACAAAACTGTTCCAACTCTCGGAATTGCATTTCGACCCCGATATCACAAAAGTCAACTATGGGTCAAACTTCTCCATTTTCCAAACTTCAACTTTTCCAACTTTTGCCGAAACACCTCAAATTACCCTACGGACTTCCAAATCTGAATCCGGACGCGTGCCTAAGTTCAAAATTACCATACGAAGCTGTTGGGATCACCCACAACCCATTCCGGGGCCGTTTACTCAAAAGTCCAATTCCGGTCAAATTTTCACTGTTTAAACTTCCAAAACTAGGTTCCTTCTCCCAATTCAATTTTGATTCATCCGGAAACTGAATCCAACCATGCACACAAGTCGATATACCTAATGTGAAGCTTCTCAAGACCTCAAACTACCGAATTGGGCGCAATTGCTCAAAACGACTAGTCGGGTCGTTACATATAAGGTGAGGAAGTAAGGGCTACAGACTGAACTACTTCTGGAAGAGGAGTAGGTGGTGTGCCTTCTGATAAGGAAGGAGGATCAGGAGAAAGTGGTTGTCTAGGAGTAGATTCAAGACAGGAAAGAGGTGAAACAATTGAGTCAGATGTAACAGAAACAGGAGAATGGGAAGGGAAATAAGAAGGTATGAGGAAACATGACTAATATCAGGTCTACAAAGAAAATAATTTCTAGAAAATTTGAATGGAAAGACATTCTTCTTGAAGATAACATCTCGACTGACTATGAATTTGTCAACTTCAATGTCATATACTTTGTAACCTTTTTAGTAGGGGCATATCCCATGAATACTCCAGGTATTGATTTTGGAGTGAATTTATCACTGAAATTTGATTTTGTGGCATAAGATAGGCAGCCTAAAGTCCTTAAATAATCAAGAGCATGAGGAGAACCATGAAACATCTCATAAGGAGATTTTCCATGCAACACAACACTAGGAAGTATGTTTATGACATATGATGCAGTTAAGATGCAATCACCCCAAAATTTTAGAGGACTGTGAGCTTGGAATCTCAAGGCTCTACTCATTTCTAGTAAGTGTCTGTGATTTCTCTCCACGACTCTATTTTGTTGTGGAGTGTAGACACAACTGCTTTGGTGTATGATACCCTTAGATTTGAAGAGACTAGAACAAAAGGTATTGAAGAATTCATAGCCATTGTCTGATCTGACTGTTTTTATAGTGGTAGAGAACTGATTTTCTACTAGGTTAAGAAAGTCATTCAAGACAACATACATATCACTCTTTAATCGCAAAAGGTAAATCCAAGTCACCATTGTATAGTCATCAACAAAAGTAAGAAAATATCTGAAGCCATTGAAAGTACAGACTCTATAAGGATCCCAAATATCCATATGAACAAGTTCAAAAACAGAAGTAGAATTAGAAGTACTACTAGCAAAAGTCAATCTTGTTTGTTTTGTTAAAGGACAGAAAATGCAATCACAAGAATCTGTTTTTAACAAAAGCTTATTTATGGTAGGTTTTTCTATAAGACTGAATAAGGTGCGTGACCAAGCCTTTGATGCCATAGAATACTTGATTTATTCTGAACAAAGGTAGACAAACAAGTAGAGTTAGAGGAACCAGCAACAGGTGTTAAATGGTTGAGAATGTAGAGGCCGCCTTGGTATCTACCAATCCCTTTCACCCCTGCCACTGAAGAGATCTTGAAAGACACAAAATTCAGGATAAAAGTGAATTGAGTTGTTTAATTCTCTTGTGTATTTGGAAACAGATAGAAGATTATATTGGAATTGAGGTATATAAAGAACGTTATATATTGTCTCTGAGTTAGGCAGAGTACACGTGCCCATGTGAGTGATTTTAGTACTATACAAGTGCCTATGTGAGTGATTTTAGTACTATCTCAATTAGGTAAATGTACTGAGGCAGACTTAAAAGTAGGCATAGGTGTATGCTAGATAATAGATTCAAAGAGGAAGCTATATGATTTGAAGCCCTAGTATCAATAATCCAACTAGCTTGATCGGTATTCGACTTGCCTTCCATATTGCCCATCACTTCTGGTTCTCTTTCCTTGCTTAGCATTATTAGAATTTGCTAATACTGTTCAACAATAAATATAGGACCATTTGGGAAACACATTTTAGGTGGAACCACATTTCCAGGAAGAACATTATGTGCTGCATCTCTTCCTTGACATTCACATTATGTGCTGCATCTCTTCCTTGACATTCACATTATGTGCAACTGCAGTAGGAATGCCATGCACTCCCTTCTTTTTATTATTGAATTTGAAGCCCGGGGGCATCCTATGAGTTTGTAACAGGAGTTCCTTAGGTGTCCCCTCATCTTGCAATAATCACATTGTAGATTAAAATTCTTCCTTGGCCTCATACCAACATTAGCTGCAATTAAGTGACTATTTTTCATCTCCATAGGCACACTACCTAGAATGTCATTATGTGTCATGAGTCCACTACTCATTCTCTGACTTTCTTCCTGAATAAGCATCAAGAATACCTGATCGAGTGAGGGTATGGGGTGCATCATCATAATTTGACTCCTCTATGGTGCATAGGTCTCATTTAATCCCATTAAGAACTTCACAAGCTTTTGTGTATGCAGAAATTCAACAAACGTCTTAGATTTTTCACAGTCACAACTAGGAAAAGGGCTAATTGATTCAAATTCGTCCCATAGGTCGTTTAACTTTGAAAAATAGACTGACATACTAGAAATTCCTTGAGTCAAACAACTAATTTCCTTATTCATGTAGTAAATCTTAGAAGCATTTACCTTATCGAAGCGATTTTAGGGCTTCCTAAACCTTCTTGGCATTTGATGAAAACACAATTCCTTGCCTCAATTCATTCACAACAAAACTCATAATCCACGATTTTACTATTGCATTGCACCGTTCCCACTGATGCAGTCGAAATTGATCTTTCTCATAACCCTCTCGCACACAGGTTCCATTAATGAAACTGATCTTATTCTTCACTAATAGTGACATCTTCATAGACCGACTCCATTCTGAATAATTTTCTGTCCCTATTAATATTTGCGGAACAAGTGAAACACCAGGTGTATCGAATGGATGAACATACAGTGGATCATTACAATCAAGCAATTGATTATTTGCATGTGATGTACCAGCTGTACTTTGAGGACTATCGATGACCATTTTGAAAAAGCAGAGAGCAAAGGAAAAAAATTAGGGTAAAAAACAGAGCAAGTGTCACTTGAGAAGAACACAACGAAGAAGAAGGAGAAACGAAGAATTGAAGAGGAAATTGAAAAATTCAGAGACTCATCAACTCGAATCGCAGTGAAGCGGGCTCTGATACCATATTAAAATGTGCCCTAGGTCTGCCATTGATGAATGGTCGAAGCTCACTGAAGAGAACCTTCTATATAGAGAGAGAAGGAACTGAAAGGAAAAATATCTTTTCTTATTAACAGAAAACTCTACTGAGAAATGACTTGTACAAGCCTATTTATAAACTTGTTAATTCTGACCTCTACTAACTCTAATGTGACGGACTAACTAACAGTACAACTGTCACATAGTTCACTTAACTAATCTTCTAGAACACTACTACTTAAATAGCACAATGTGCAATCATTACAAGCTATACATCTCAACAAGATTGTTCTAAAATTAGTCTATATATAACAAATTCCCTATATAAAGGGGTAAAAATCATATACTCCAATAAATTAAAAGTTAAATATATCTAATCACATATTACAAGGACCAAAATTAAAACTTATCAATAATTGAAGGATTAAAAGGGCTACTACTATCGCTAATTATATATAATAGATTGCATCAATTTCATGCTAGTGAAACATGTTACATAAAACTAAAGGAAAGATAAATATTTCTCAATAAGGCATGATGAATCTATCAACATATATAGTCATTAAAGTTAGATCTCTTTTTTTCCGGATCATATAAGATAAACGCATAATAATAGTAATTGGGGAGATCAATGCACAATAGGAAAAAAAACAGAATACATTAACAGATTACATTTTTGGACCGTTGCTTCACAACGCTCCAGTGTCCAAATACAAATGGCAATATAACTTGGGCCCAACCACCACGCTTTTCCTGAAACTGGAGCGGGATATGATTAAACTCCTACTACTGTAGTATAATATCAGTACCACGTAACTTCTTTCGCTACACAAATCAAAGTGCAAAATATCACTAATTAGCAGCTTCCGTCTTCTTTTGTCTTTGAAAGATTATACAACTTTTAAGGTGAGTTTCATTAATAGGTTTTGACTTGTATTTCTGAATCTGTTACTGCTGCACTTTATATCCATATCTAAATTCATATACTAGCTAAAAATTTGATTGTGTATCTTTTTTTGTTTAGTTATATTAAGTCAGATTGTTTAAAAGCAAATGGGAGTGGCAAGGGATAAGCTATCATCATATTGGTGGTGGTTTAACAGTGACAAAAATACCACCCAAAACCGGTCGCCGTGGCTTCAATCAACTCTAGCCGGTGAGAAACTGTACTCCCATCTTCTTCCTCTTATCTTTCTACACTCTACAGGCTAGAAACCAGTCACTGATTTCAAATTTATAACTTTTGTTGTCTATATTTTAATTGACATGTTTTGCATGCTTCTTTTTGATAAATTCGATGCTCGTTAAAAAGGTAGTGAAAACTGAATAGGCTATGAAAAATTGAATCTGTTTTGTCTTTATTTTCAACTAAGAAGCGAAAAGTATTGGTTTTGATCAATTAAAGCGCCATCTTTATGGTCCAATTGCTGGTGCGAAACTTTGCTATTCAGGTTAATTCGTCAAACTTTTATTATCTTGCTTTAGTATTAAGAACTGATTGCCTAATTATAATGTGGACCTATTTAGAGTCCCTTTTGGCTAAAGAGCCAATACTTTAAGAATAGTTGATGCTTGTTAGTAATGTGACAAGAAGTAACTAGTTTTACGCTCGTTGTCAGCCTGCCGCAACCCCCGTCTTTTATCCGAGTTTAGGACCAGCAATGTGAGCGAGCTCACACAAGCGGAGTTGTTGTTTCTGTTATATTCATCAGCAACATTTAAGATTGCTCGTGCCTTAGTATTATGCCAAAACTTTCGCTCTTCTTTTTTTCAGTTGCAGTAACCAAAAAAAAAAGAAGGGCAACTCGGTGCACGATGCATCCTCCATTCATGCAGGGTCCGGGAAAGGGCCGCACCCCAAGGGGGTGTGATGTAAGCAGCCTACCCTAATGCAAGCATTAGTGGCTGATTCCATGGCTCGAACAAGTGACGTACAGGTCACACGGAGACAACTTTACCGTTGCTCCAAGGCTCCCCTTCTATTGCATTAACATAAATATTTTAAAATACCAAGGACTAGCAAAATTTCTCTACTTGCTTCATGTAGCCTATAGTTGTATATTGTTGCAGAACTAGATGAGAAGACTGAGGCAATGCTCATGATCATTGAGGAAGATGTAGATACATTCGCCCAAAGAGCGGAGATGTATTACAAGAAGCGACCACAGCTCATTAACATGATTGAGGAAATTTATCATGCCCATCGGTTGTTAGCTGAGGGATATGATCAAATCAAGCATACAACTGACCCGCGCATTTTAGCATCGTGGAAGTCTCCAATGCCTTTCACAAAATACTCAGAGGACAAATTGATCAACTCTATGGAGAAAGCCTATGACAGCTATTCAGAATCATTTGGCCCTGAGTCCGAGTCCTTTGATCTGTCAGAGATAGAGGATCCTGATAACAACGAAGAAGAAATCCAAATCCAAGTAGAGAAGGCGAAAGTGGAAGTATCAACTGGCCTTAGCCTTAAAACTGATGAAGTACTGAAACTGAGGGAAGAAATTGAGAGATTGAAGGAAGAGAATAGAATCCAACAAGAGCTTCTAATGCAGAAAGATGAAGAGAAAAGAGAGGCAATCAGACAGCTTTGTATAGCTTTGGATTTTCTGAGGGAGGAAAACAATAAGCTGAGGATGAGTGTAGCTACGACCTCTCCGAAAAAAGAAAACTCCATTGAGCTCAAAGCATCAAAGAAGGGGTTCTGGAAAAGGCTCTTTAGCTGAACTCCCAGTTCAGAGGCTGCAATTGTTACTAAGAGCAACTGATCAAGTACTAGTGATTTAGCTAGTATATGCAGAAAGGCATACTCAAAGATTATACTTCATTTGTGTAGTATTATACCTCAGAAATTATTCTTGATATTCTTTATAGTTATAGCAAAATTGTCATGTATAATAGTGTATGTCAGTGTCATTTTAATATTCTTTTGTTGGGCACAATCAACTGTGTTCATAAACCCTCAAACAGAGAATGGAAAAGCATGAATTTTGTATACAAAGTGGAGAGTCATTGTTTTATTCCCTTCTTATGCAAGAATCGTAATACATCTCAATTAACTTAGAAATGAAAATGTCATACGCCAAACAATGAAATCTAATGTTACAGCAAGTGATTATGTACCCTGATGAAAAAGCAAAATAGCATGAATATACTGTAGTACATGTGGACAGGAGGTGTGAAATTTTATAAACCAATAAACTATACCAGAATGCAGCAGCCATTAGGAAATTTACACAGCAAAGACCAGAATTGCACTAAAAAATAATGGTAGAGGAACTGCAGAGTAAATTGGCAATGACCCAGAAGGCTGAAATGGCATGAGAGATTCAGGAGCAAGCATAGCATCTGGATTTGGTGGGCTGAGACTTGAAGGTATTGTGGGTAGTGAAGAATCACTAGGAGCAAGTTCTGAGCCACCGGGCGAAGGAAACAGAGGAGTTATATCTGGAGAAAGTGCAGGGAATGGAGGTGAAGATAATGGTGGATTTGGCAATAATGCAGGTGCAGCTGAAATAGTTGAAGCTGGCACCTTTCTTAGGGAAGTTCTATCCAAGGCTAGAGAAGAAGAAAAAGATTGGCATACCAAGAAAATCATGAGTATAATCAAGAATGGCTTTTTGGAAGTGAAAGCCATTAATGATGATGAAATGAATGGACACCCTTTTGCCTATTCTTGGCACAGAAATAGTAAAGGTATTATCTTTGGTGGAAAGAATGAAAGAAAGAATGACAGAGTTGGTATTATGATTGAAGGATTATCAAGAAGAATGTAGTTAGGGAAATGGTCTAAGAAGACAGCTTGGAATGTATTGGCAATAGGACAAGATTGGTGAATGGTTATTGTTTGTGAAATCACATGAGGATGAACAGGAACTTATGTGTCCTTTTCCTCAGTGGCCTTTTGTTGCCATTCATAGTCTATGGAATTTTCTGTGTCTGATCTGACAAACCATTTTCAAAATTGCGTCTGCCACCTCCACCCAACTCCACCATCTCCATCCATTTGGATGATTTTTGTTCCACCCTTGATAGTTGATTAGTTGAGACTCTACACTTTATAGGGTAAGAAAAAGTGGAATACCTACCTCCACGTATCTCGAGACTCTTATCTTCAAAAGAAATTGATGATGTAAAATGTGATTTAGTAACTTGAAAGATATGGTAAAAAAGCACGCACGTTTAGGAATTTGGAATTTCTTGATGTATCCATGTAAGTTATAAGCAAGCACGTTTAGGAATTTGGAATTTTATGTTAGTTGGAGTATGTTCTACAATGTGTAGTCAAACATGAAAAGGTTGGTACCTACTCCAGAACAGTTCGATGACCTTTTGAGCTCATAGAAATGTGATGTGGCCCCATAGGGTTAAGAAAAAAGCATTTTTTTTTTTCTGGTTTTCACCCGATGTCTGGTACCCATATTGGAGCCTGACTAAATCCGGATTCGCACCGAGAAGTCCCACATTGGGGAGTAAAACGCTTCCTAACAAAGGCGACTCCATACCCAAGGCTCGAACCCGAGATCTCTGGTTAAAGATGAAGGAGTACTTACTACTCCACCACAATCCTCATGGGTAAGAAAAACTAATTAATACACCATCTATCTTACTCTTCATTTTTATAAAATAAAAACTAGAGAGACGTTATATTCAAAATGAAACTAGTTCTGCTGCCTAATAGAACTTATACAGATGACCCGAAAATGATTTGATACGCCCTTTAACATGTTTCAGACCAAAGATTACTGGTTTTTTTAAAAGGAGAGGCCGGAGGGGCTGAGAACAAAAGAAAAAGGGATTTTTATCTTTCTATGTCACATATGAAACCTTATTATCCTTAATGTTTAAGGTTTGATTTAATTATACTTAGTATACCAAATTATCAATCCTTATACCATACTTAATTAAGGGTCTAATTAATGAGCAGTTTTTACTCCTTAATTAAAGATGTCCATATATCCCACGTTTCTCTATCCCCTAATTCCTAAGATCTGCGCCGCTTCCCCCCTCCCCTTTCTTCCTCTTCTCCATTCCTTCTTCTTCTCAAAAAATACAGAGATGGAAATTGCAATTTTGTTACGTACGAAATAGTAAGGCCCACACTTTCATATTTCTTTTCGGATTCAGAATCATATTCTTATGGTTTTACGACATAGAGCTACTGCCTTTTTGGTATGTAAGCAAAAGCAATCTAGGGCACATGCTTTCATAGTTTTCCTACTTCTTCTCGAATTCAAAATACTAACTATTATAGGATTATGGTTTTACTATAAAAGCAATCCCTCTCAATTTTTCCGTTGGAGAAGAGAAGCATAAGCCCAGCCTCAGGCGTGTCAAATATTGATATCCATCTCAAAATTCTATACAATATTTACCTTCAAATCACCTCTGAAACCAATCAATCCCCTACCCCTTCTTCTGACTTTGATTCAAAGATTCAACTTTTAAAGACTAAGCTTCACCCTGAAACCTTAAATTGTTTTGTAGTTTTTTTTTTTGTAGAAATTTTGTAGGTGAAGAGAAAATTTTGTAGTCAACATTTTTTTCCAACATAGATTGTAGTTTAATTGTAGTATAAATGTAGTAATTTTGTAAATACCCTTAAAAACAATACTACTTTATACAATACTAAAACTGATTTGTAGTTTATTTGTAGAAATTTTGTAGATGGAGAGAAAATTTTATAGTCAATATTTTTTTTCAACATAGATCGTAGTTTAATTGTAGTATAAATGTAGTAATTTTATAGATACCCTTAAAAACAATACTGATTTGTAGTTTATTTGTAGATAAATGTAGGAATTTTGTAGATATTAACATAAAATCAGACTTTCATAGAATTTGTAACATAACAATTTTAATAAGCTCCCCCTAATTCCTAAGACCAACGTCGTTTCCCCTCTCCCCTTTCTTCCTCTTCTCCATTCCTTCTTCTTCTCAAAAAATACATGAGACCTATTTTTTATAATCATATTTTTCCCATTCAATTGTAGTATGATTGGGCTTTTGGACATGATTGAGTGTTGTTGCTGAGGTATTGTTCTATATTTTATTATATTTTTGATTTGTGGATTGAGAAAAAAAAGATGAAGAACAGAGTATCGACAGTATTGGTTTCTACAATTTGACTTGATTTTGTTGAATAACTGTCACACCTCATTTTTGCGCGTCTACCCCGAAGGATAAATGCGTGAGGGAGTTTTTCCAATTTAAGTGATAATATTCGAAATGAGATTATTTATTCATTCCAGAGTCGCCACTTGGGAAAGGTTTGGCTTTAGGTGTCCCAAGTTACCGGTTTATCTTGAATCCCAAATCGAGGAAAATATTCGACTTTCCAAATGAAGTCTGCAAACCAGAAATTCTAAGTAAGGAATTCTGTTGACCCGAGGGAAGGTGTTAGGCACCCCCGAATCCCGTGGTTCTAGCACGGTTGCTTAAATTGTTATAATGGCTAAATATCTGATTTTAATACATGTTATAACTTGTGCGCTTTTATTAGGTTTAAACCGCTTTTATTATTATTTATTTTTTATGGAATTGCAACGTCGTGAAAATGCATTTCGAACCACGTCACAATCAATGCGCCCGTGGTTGTTAATACATTCCGACTCCGTTGAGATTTGGATTTGGGTCACATAAATGCGCACCCGAATTTTAAGAATGTAATTTAATTAAATCGCGCCTAAAGAGTCTAACGCGTTGTTATCTTTGGGGAAGGCAGTGAAATTTACTAAACAATCCATCCCAAATTCTAAGTATTTTATTATGACCAATTATTGAGGGCCCCGCAATTTGCATTTTTTATTTGGCGAGGCGCGCCTCATTTTATTTTAAAGGTAGTCCTATAATGACTATGTTTTCTATTTTGTTTGTCTCTAAAATAAATGAAGAAAAGGTCCTACTTTATTTACATACTTACGAGTTATTATAGTTAAGTTTCGAACATGATTCGTGAAATCTAAAATGAACGTAGTAAGAGCAGTCTGTTTGACAGTTATGGGCCCAGGCCCAATGTGCATGGCGTGAAACTAGGCCTGGGCCATCCTTATTCCAATTGGGCCTAGTTAACTTATTTTTACATATGTTTGACATTTACAAAGGGGCTGAAATGTGAACCTGTGTTATCTAATTAAACAATGTTCCTATAAGTTTCAAAACAAGCCTTTTGTTCCATGGGGTAACTATTAAATATTTAGAAATAGTCTAAGAGGCCTAACATGTTTTTTTTGTTTGAGATATACTATTTAACAAATAATACTGAAACAACAGAATATGTTTTCTACAACATCACTCCATTTTAACTAAGCGCACAAGGGAGGAAGTTTACAACTAAACTACTACAAAACATTTGTTCAGTTATACATAGCCCACATCTATGTGATTCTAGTAGAAGACATGAACTATTATATGTATACCGCTTAATGTTCAATATACAACTAAAAGGTATTCAAAAACAACTTCAACTCTTCATTTTTCATTCATGCTTCAAATTTCAGCTTACATTGAACCAGTGGATCAGTTGTGTACCTGATATTGGAAAGCAAAAGAAGAAGAGAAGTGATCAGTGCAGCAGCAGTAGTGTAAATACACAGCAACAACAGGTTCAGCAACACAACAAAATCCTAGGAAATCGAAGTATGACCCAAAAGAAACACTCTGAATCGATCGAGATCAGTGACAGAAAATCCGAGCAGCAGAGGCGGGCCAAACCAAATTTCAGAATGGTTTCGAGAACCAAATAAGATTGCAGAGATGACTCCAAACAAACCAATATGCCCAACAAATGAATCCAGCACCCACAAGCCAAACTCAAATGAAACAGAAACAAATCGAATGACTCGCTACTATGGTTCGAATGAGTCCAATGACTCCAAACTTCTAGTACTGGACAGTGTTTCTCCTTCTAAAAAAGGAAACTATGTTCTGGTCTTTTAAAAGAGATATAGGAGCTAAACTTCCAATGGGATATTGAAAACAAATTCAAAGAAGAGAAAGAAGTCAAACAGTATTTTTCTTTTGCTCTCCAAAAGCTCCCTTTTCTTCCCCCTCCCTGGATGTCCTGAACCCTTCCCCTTTTATAACCCAAACTGACCTCCATTCCAGCCTGTTAAAACCAATTAAAAACTGACCCCCCATGCTTCCTTATTCTATTTTTTTTTAAAAAAAAAAAGCACTCATTCTATACCCCTTTTCGGATGTACCTCTTTTCAGTTTTTTAAAGTCTGAAAGGCCTGTTATTCTCTGCAGACCATTAGTGGATGTTCAAATAATATTTAATTCTAATCAAGCATGGACAAATGAATTGATTAATTCAAACGCATCTGACCACACATGGCTTCCACTAACAGTTTTAAAGCAGTGAATTAAATCCATTTCATAAGTTAATACAATCCCTAGACTAATCGATAAAGGGTACAGATTGACTCAATCAGAATTGAAGCAATATGAATCAAATTGTCATCAGGTTATTTTAACATTCAAAACTGCGAGACTAATCGACGACACTTATTTAACAGACTATATATTACAATATATACAATCGATAACAAATAATCGAACTCGAACAGGCGCGGGGGTGATTTCATACTGATAGACACAGTGATTTTATGAAAACCTAACTAATCGACAGAGCCTATTCGACTCGATTACACAAACTGTAATTACACGCAACAAACGTGCAGAAGCAAATTCGACCAAATAAAAGGTCCGGGCGAGATGGACAGAATAGTCGACACAATTGAAAACAACTCAAACTGACATTTAAACACATAAACAAACATCAACAGACAAAAACATGGAACTGACAAGGAAAAGAAAATACCTTAAGAAATTGAAGGTTAGACGACCCCGTCTTGGACTCTGACTCGGACCTCTTTTGGGGTCGAATGGTCCTTAATCAAGTGTTCTCAACGGAGAACACTTCGACTAAGGTCTATTAGACCCCAAACCTCTGCTAATTTGGACAAATTCCTGGTTATTGGATTTCTAGGGTTCTTGGGGCTCAGATTAGGGGTTCGAGCTTTTCTGGTTCGATTCGAACCAAACCAAGCTTGGTTTGGTCACGAGGGAGGTCAGGGGAGTAACTGGTGTGGATTTGGGGTGGTTTGGCATAAGTTGAGGTTTGGCTCGAATCTTCAAATGAAGATTCGAGACGATGGGGGAAGATTTGAGACAAGGGAGTAACATATTTGGAACGGGGGTGGTCAGATGGTTTAGGGGTGTTAATCTGGTGACCGGTGGCATCGATGCCGCCGGGTTTCAGGCGATGGGGTAAGGTGGCGGCGCTAGGGTTTCATGGGGGAGTCTGTCTCTGAGTTCAGAGAGACGAGAATGGGAGAGGGGGGGTCTGGCTTAGGGGGGCGTGGGGTAAGGGATTGGGGTTATATAGTTAGGGGGAAATTTGATCTGGGCCGTCAGATCATTCAAGATAAATGGCCTGGATTGATCAACTTAATGGAAACGACGTCGTATGGGTTAAGTGAGACCGGTGGGTCTCTGGGTGAGACGGGTCGGGTTAAGGCGCGGGTATGGAGACGTGATCTTGGCCATTGATCAATCTGAGATCAACGGCCCAGATCAAGTGTGATCAAAACGACGCCGTTTGGACGTCTCTGAGATTGGCTGATCTGGACCGGGCAAAAAACAGTGCTTTGGGCCTGATTTTGGGTCCAAATTAAATGGCCCAATCCCGATTTGTCCAATTTTAACTCATTTCTTTTCTTCTTTTAATTCCTTTTCTAAATACTAATCTACCAAAAATCCTAAAATAAGTTGTAAAACTACAATTATATTAAAAAGACATTAATTGACTCACACAAGATCAAACATTAATTAAACAAAATCACACCATTAAACAATAAAATGACAAAATTACCAAAATAATATTTTTTTTGTGATTTTCAATCATTTAAAAACCAAATACGATTTAATTCCTAATAGTAGAATAAGATCCTAAATTTATACGCAACAAATTTTTGTATTTTTAATTAATAAAAACAAACAATCAAAGACAAAAACTACAAATAACTATCAAAAAATGCCACGCAAATTCTCAACATTATACACAAAGACAATTTGTTTTATTTTTTGATTTCTTTTGGAGTAGTTGTCGTGGAAGCAAAAATCACGTGCTCACAATAACTGGTCGCCTTTTTAATGTCTGGATTGAGGAAGAAACTCGACGAACTGATTTCTACAATTTGATTTCAGTTTGTTGAAGCTTTTCGTCTTTTTTTTTGAATTACGAAAAAAATTTGGGAGAGATCAGATAAAGGATTTGCGTTCAAATTTGAACTGAAGGTCGCTAAATCAATTAGGATATTCTTTTCCTGATTTTTGGCGCGCCATATTAGGAAGATTCAGCTACTATTAATTACTAATTAATGAATGGTATAAAAATTGTAGAAAAACAGTGCACATGTCGGGTAATTTACAAAATATGCACATATTTGGTAATAAAGTTTTATTACTAGTATAGGAAGGAAAAAATCCCAAAGAAAAAACAGAAGTACTAAATTAAATTGGAAGCTCCTTTATTAATTGCTACATACATTGAATATAATGTGAATGGTTAGAAAACCTCAAATCACATCAACTCTCAAAATTTCCTAAAAAGAGATGTCACAGCCTATACCTGAAAAAATAAACATTAGAAATGATGCATACTAAATGTGCAATGCCCATGCACTTCCATTTCATTCAAAGGCAATAGCCACCAGCACCTTGATTTCCTAACTGGACAATTCTTTTGCATCCATCAATTGTATCATTTGCTACATAATTGATTATTCACTTTGCTGGCAATCTTGCTACAAATCCAGAAGGCAGCCAAGAAAAGCACTCGTGTGTAGAGTCTCAATGCAGATTGCCTGGTCAGCTGATTTCTTTCCCCTCAAGTAACCAAATGTGACAGAGATCTTTAACTGTCAAAATAACCATCTTAGGCATGAAAACTTTAAAAGAATGGCTTGGCTTCAAGTGAGAATCAGGATCAGGCTTCATAGACTATGTGATCAAGCCCAAAGAAGCCCTTCAGAGCCAAATTCCATGTTAGAAACTGGACTATCACCAAAGTTCTGTTGATTGGTTGCTTCACTTTGCTCTATGGAATCAACATATGCTCCCATAAGATCAGATGATCTTTCAGCTGGAATGCCATAGTCTTTGAGAATACTAGCTGAGGCGTCTAGGGCTGCCTCCCTTTCCAGAACGACCAAAAAATTGTCTTCAAATTCAAACACTAAATATTTGCCTTTGCAAGCTGCACGAGCAGACAAATCTGTAACTGCCCCAATTCAAGAGAAAGAGAACTCAAACTATGTATATATATTAACACTTACAATCCACTAGATGAGCCAAATGGTGAATGTTTTTAATTCGGGTGCCATTCAACTTCAAGACCTGCCAATAAATTGAAAACTGAGACTTCACTGAAGAAGCATACAACAGCAACGACTATGTCTCATTCCAAAGCTAGTTGGGGTCAGCATATGAATCCACTTCATTGAAGAAGCATATGTGACTAATTTGAAATTTGATGTTCACACCAATTACAATTTAACTGGTAGGATTGTAAAATAAATGTACATAAGTAACTTGCCTGCTCATTGCTCATATCCTCATACCCAATATTTACTTCATTCGCCAAGACCTACAAGCAAAATAAACCATTAAAATATAGAATTATTTTACGTAAATTAACCTCTCGGCATCATCTAGAGGTGATAAAATGGGTTAAGTGATAAAGTAGCCTCGAACACCAAGGGTGATAATGGCAGGCTAAAACCCATTTAACCTTAAATCATCACCCTTAGGTTATGTCCGCTGCTCCTGTTCCCCCACCATGGCCCAGTATACTTTCATGTCCAGTAATGAACAAGAGAAAGGATCTACTAGTCACTATATCCGCAAATCAATTTACAAAGGCCAAAACTTACTCCATACACACCTGGGATAGTACAACAATCTGTTGCCCTTCGAACTTGGCCAAAGAGTATCGAGCCTTGGTCAATAGTTTCAGCTAATAAAATTAAAAGAAAACAATCACGACAACAAAGTATTTCTAATCATTGACTTATCAAAACAAAGAAACAAAAAGAAAAATAAAATAGTTCTAATTATAGTGAGCAATCATCATTTTGTGAAGACTCACCCCAATGCTATCTTCTTCTTCCCTGCCAAATAAAGTATGAAAGTTTTTTTATCAGAGGGAGAACTCTTATACTAATAGGTACTAGAAAACTAGCAGATTGCTAGCTCCATATAACAATATGAAGAATTCTGGCAAATCTTACTCTATTAGTGGTTCGGATAGTGGTGTAAAGACCAAGCCTGCAACTATTATGTATGAAGGTTGACCACCTTCTATATGATAAGGAACCTTCAGATGAGAGCAAACATATCTAAATAAATTAAACTGAGATTCAAGTGTTGGTCAACAAAAAGACTGAGGGTCAGCTAACATTTCTTTTATACCAAATGCACACGCGGCTTCAGAACTGCTTGAACTTTCATGAATTCTCCAGCTCTTATAATACCAAGCTCAACTGAATCACCACTGAATCTGAAAAGGAAACAACAGTTTTGTAAGATATACAGTAGCAAGTGCATACTTAATAAATCGACATGCAGGACCAACAATGATATGGAAGATTGGGAAATTCTGGAGTTTGATATCAAGGATTCATTGAAATAGTAGCATTAGGCTGATATCCATTTCAAGGTCATCAAGGAAATAGAAATGGATCCACTGGGAGAAAAAATAAAAAAGACTATTCAACCCTCAGAGTATACAAAATGATAAGCATTCCCTGCTAGCTTTGGCAAACTTAATTTAAGGGCAGAAACCTAAGTTGCTCGGACTCGGGTGCGGGCATCCGATACGGGCACGGATCCGAGTGTCGGATTCGGCAGAATCTAAATTTTAAGATTCGGGGGTGTGGATACAGGTAAGGATACGGGTGCAGGGATTCGGCTAAAAGATTCAAAATTATAAAAAATAGAGCTATAAGTCCGAACTCAGAACACGACCCCTTGAATTCTTGGTTTTTCTAGAACACGAAGTAGCAAATATGAGACAAAAGTACTACAATATTGAAGGTATGCCATTTCGCATGTCCTAAATCTGTTTTATTTTTAATTTTAAGAAATCAAAATCTCAATTTCCCTCCAAATTTGTCGATGGACTTAGGTCCAAGTATCCGAAGTTAGTTGATCGAATCCAGGACGTATTCCGCTCCCGTCCCGTGTCGAGACGGGTGCGGCACAAAAAACGAAGAGTCTGCACAACTTAGGCAGAAACTTATGTGGAAAAGACAAAGAGGGAAGTGGTGTCCTGAAAATTGGTAATTACATAAACTAACCAGTCTCAGAGTTTGTCATTCAAACTGAACATTAAGTGCATAATGTTTGTCAAACTTATAATAAATAAATAAAAAAGATGTTTGTCAAACATACTAATGTCCTTAAATGCAAATTTAACTTCTTTGCAAGTAATTGAACTTTACTTTTGACTAATGAGATAGCGAAAAGCTATACGTTCACTTGATCGAAACGGCACTGTTCCTTCAGACCCAACATGAACACCATCAAAACTAACAATGACGTCGCCCTGAAAAATGCACCAAGTATCATTTAACTTAGTGACATTACCAAAATAACATGCCTGTGAAACAATTAAATCCAAACGAAATTTCCTACTAACTTAACACCATAAGAATGGGAAAAATCAAGTAAATCAAATAGACAGGTGACATGAATCCAGATACCGACAGAATATCCATGTCGCCTAACTCATTTTCACACCTTAAAGTGTCATGTCTTGAAATCACTTGAGTTCCAGCACCACATCAATGGTGCATGTTACTCGATGTTGTGAAAGTAGCAATTAATAAAAAGAATGTACAAACTATTGTGAGCACGTGATTTTTGCTTCATGAAAACTACTCCAAAAGAAATCAAAAAATAAAATAAAATTTTCTTGGTGTACAATTTTTAGGATTTGCGTGGCATTTTGTGGATAATTATTTGTGTTTTTGTCCGTAAATGTTTACTTTGTTATAGTTAATTGAAAAATAAAAATATATATATATACATATTGCATACATATTTAGGATTTAATTATGCATTTAGGAATGAATTAAACAATTAATTGACTCTAAAAGGAAAATCATAAAAATATGCATTTTATTCTATTTTGTTGTCATTGTGTGATTTTTTTTAAAGATCCTAATTTGTGTGCTAATTGTTGTAAGTGTTAATTAATATTTGTGTAGTTTTATTTTTTGATTGTTACAATTTAATTATGAATTGTGTTTAAATTGATTAAAAGAAGAAATGAAAAGAGTTAAAAATATAGGGCCAATCAGATCTGGGCCAGAAATTTAGACCCAAAAATCAGGCCCCAAACGTTCCAAAAAACCCGGTCAAATCCAGTCCACCTGCAATTAATCCAAACGACGCCGTATTGGCGTCTCAACTCTGAGTCGTTGATCAAACTGGATCGAACGATCCAGTTCAGCCCCTGCATAGTTGAAACGACACCGTTTCAAATGATCAATCTGAGCCATCCATTTTTTTTGATCCAACGGCCTCAAGGCCTCAACACGACCCGATCCACTTCACCCCCGGACAACCCATTCCCCAACTCAAACCAAACGGTGTCGTCCCCTTTAAGTGAATTAATCCAGGCCGTGGATTGTGGTTGATCCAACGGCCAAGATCAAACCACCCCTCCCCTATATAAACTCAATCTCCTAACCCAGGGTGCTCCCTCGTCTTCCTGTTCATCATCGTCTTTGAGACGATGCCCCCCCCCCAAACCCTAGCCGCCCTAGCTCCCCCTCGCCTGAAACCCGGGGGCAACTACGTTGCCGGTCACCAAACCAACACCCTAAGACCACCTGACCACCCTCGATCCAAATCTGGTAACCGTTTAGCTCGAATCTTCCTAGAACTTCTCGAATCTTCATTTGAAGATTCGAGCCAAACTCAGATCCAAACCAACCAATCCCTAATTAACACCACAGCACCCCCTAACCACCCTCGTTACAGATCTGTTGGTTGTTCACCTCGAATCACCCTACAGCTTCTCGAATCTTCAATCGAAGATTCGAGCAAAACCTAAACCTACCCCAACCTACCCCAAATTCGTACCAGATGACCCCCAGACCTCCCTCACCCTTGAACCACCACTGGTTCCCTTAGAATCTGCCTAGAAATGTTCAAACCCTAAATCCGAAAAAAACAGAACCCTAAAATTCCAAAGCTTGGGGTCTGTCCGATTAAAGGAAGGGTTGGGGTCTAATAGACCTTAATCGAGGTATTCTCAGTTGAGAATACTTCGATTAAAGTTTGTTCGACCTCAAAAATGTCCAAATTCGAGTTCGAGCCTGGGTCCGTATAGTTTTGAGGTTTTGAGGTATTTTTCTTTTTTCTTTATTCTGTATTTATGATTTTTCTATCTATGTATCTGTTTAGTTTAGTTTTATTGATTTTTTCCATGCTTTTTCAATTCATCTTCGCATCTCCAATAGACCTTTTATTTGGTCGAATTCTTCTGATCATTGATTAAGTATATGTTGTGAACTGTATAGTATAAGTGATTAATTTTATCAATTAGTTGGTTGTATTACAACTCACTGTTTCTGTCAAATAATACTCGAATCACATATGTTTGTTTTTCTGATTAATTGTCGATAATTTCTCGAAAAATTAGAGAAAAACATGATAGTAATTCTTGGTTGTTTTTCCAGTGGGTTTACCATTTTTCTTTTTGTCTTCTGTGATTAAATGTGTAATGAATTGAACATGTTATTTTCAGTCTTGTTTGTTTTAACCAGATTACTCGTTTATCTCATTGCCCTGATTAATACCATTTCGATTTTCTTCTGTTCTTCTGCCCTAAATCTGTGTCTAAATAGGATTGTGAATTGGATATAGCTGTAGTTATTTAGGTGTTTAACCAAATGAGTTTCAGGTTTGAACTTACAAATGTAACTTCAGACTTGTAAAGTTTAGGGTAATGAAGTGATAACAGTAGGGTTTCAGGGGTGATTTAGGAATGAAACAGTTAGAATAATAGTTTAGTGCTAGTGTTTTGTTAGTGGGATATTAATTAATTTGGTAATGGGGAAC